CAAAGCCATAGAGACATTATCCATTTCGGAATTTATTATGCATGTCTGTTTAAGAAAAAAACAAGGTTATAGAACTTCTTTGCTATGAATATTTGAAAGCTGGAAGGAAATATTAAAACAGCCATTTCAAAGTCTTAATGTGCCATATGGCAAGCCAACAAAAAGAACAAGACCAAAATCGATTTAAGTGAAACTATTGTGAACTAAATGGCAATGATCTGAAGAACAAGTCATGTGATACTTATATCAAAAAATAAATTTAAGAGTCTACAGGAGAAATATCGAAGATTCTGGGAAGGAGATTATGGAACACAAGATTTGTTACACGAAATCCGACAAAATTGAAGTCCCTTGTCCAATGCTGGCCAGAGCATGCTTGTACAATAGACCAAGCATGAGTTCTGCTAGGTGCTACTTGCGAGGGTTTTAATTCATATAAACTGATTGAATTTCCCTTAAATCTTCCGACCTAGATTGACATAATATGAATCTGAATTGTTTATTAATTGTTTAAAATCTATATATTTGTCAAACGGTACACTATCTATTATTATAAACTCCACTTCAAATAAATAGGGTGAAGTTTTTTCAACTGCATTTGGCTGCTGTGGTCACCTGCAATAAGATAAGATTCAATCCCAACATAGCATTTTTAATAGAATATGGTGCAGAAAAACTTTAGAGGAAGTCTTTAATGACATGAAATTCACTAAGCAAAAAATCAAAATGAGCAAGAAAGTGGAAAGTGTCGAATCATATAGATTATGATAATAGAAAGCAAAAAAATTCTCTTTTTTTTCCCATACAGCTGCAAAAATACCGGACAAATTTCTGTTCGAGAAATTTATGTTATTAAATGATATAGAAAATTAAATGGAAGAAGAAGCATTACTAAATTGAGCTACTCGCGGCGAATTTCAGACAAAAATTCTACAGTCAAAATTCTCATTTCTGTGAGTAACAAATTGTTTAGGGTATGAAGTTCCACCCCACATTTGCTCTGAGGCCGTTAATGCTTCTTTTGACTGTAACAATACACTACTTCAGACAAAAATTCTACAGTTAAAATTCTCATTTCTTCGAGTAACTAACTGTTTAGGATATGAAGTTCCATCCCGCATTTGCTCTGAGGCCGTTAATGCTTCTTTTGACTGTAACGATACACTAATTGAGCCTCAGATAATTCATAATTTTGTAAAAATTTATATGCATACCACATAATTTCTATACATTTATATTTAAATTTTGATATTTTGAACTAAAATATTTTGGTGTCCAAATAAATACTTGAAAACTTGCATTTCAGTTCTAAAAAAACATAATTTGACATTAATAGTGCTATTTTTATATGACGTTAAGATACATTAAATAATATATTTTATTCTTAAATTGTAAATTATAGTGATATCCTTATATGATGTTAAAAGTTGAGTTTTATGTATGTAGACTAGAAATTTTAGGTGCTAGATATATAAATACATAAGATAAATATGGCATTTTTCAAAATGCCCTAAGTAATAATAGCGTAAAATTTTTGTTGTGATGAAAAATATTTGAATTTTGAGTGTTATATATGTAAATATGTGTATAAATGCCCCTCCAAATTTGGGCCATTTACATTCATACCGCCTAAAAGCTATGTTTCTGCATATCTAACACCTAAATTTACCTCTTTACATTCATACCACCCAGATATTTCAAATCACTCAAAAAATACTATCATTTTAGGTGAAACATACTTTTTAATGGATATGTAAGCTGGAATATATGTAAAAGTTGAAGATTATGTGTTTGACATGTAAATATACAAAGTTTATGTGATATACAGGATTCAAGTTGTTAACTTTATCATCTCAATTAACTAACTTCTAATTCTTAATTATTTTTAATTTGTTGCACAACTTATCAGGAATATATTAATTTTTTTTAATTACTTTTTATTTAGTTAAATTATTTTTATCATAAAATGATATTTATTTATTCATTTTTGTTTTAATTTATAATTAAAGGGCGAGATTGTTATGGAGAAGACTTTGACGCTAAGGTGCAGCCATATTTTTCATGCAAATTTTATAAAAATTAGCTAATGATTAAGAATCAGTGGTTAATTACAGGACATCAGACGTCCTAGATGAAGGACCCGTTTGGGGCATCTTATTTGATGCGGTGTCGTTTTGAAAACACATCTGACCTATTTGGGTGAACTGCGTTTTGGCAGCTTATGCGTTTTCAAAATGCTGAAGACAGTGTTTTCACACACATCTATTTAGGTGCGGTTGCAGCTTTCTGACAGCAGTCTGACCTTTCTAAAAAAATAAAAAATTTGTAATAGTCACCATACCTAGCTTATCAACAGATTATTCAATAAGCTGCAGCTGCCCCAAGCAGAAGTTATTTAATTTTACATATATTTGAACTAGTTTAATTTGTTTTTTTTTCATCAAATTGTGGATATTTTTGTGTTTATAGACTAGTTTTGAATGTATTTTAGTATTTACTTATTTTTTCTATATGTAATATGCAAATATATGTGCTTAGTTTGTTCATTAAATTTGAACATTTATCACAATATTGCATGAAAAAAATTAAAGAACATTTAGATACATATCACAAGTTTTTACATATCAAATAACAAAACATTTATATTTATAAGTATGCCCCTTAATTTTTTAATATCACATCGAAAATATAACAACAACTATCTTTTAAAAGTGAAATACAATTTTTCATGCATGGATTTATGACAATAATCTTTTATTAGTGTAAATATTAAACTTTTAACTGCAAGATATGTAAATACATAAAAGTTGTGTGATATGCATGTAAATGTCTCTAACATTCTATGTATATTAATAAGATTTGAAGATCAATGTCATCATATATCTATCATGACCAATAGTAAATTAGTTCAATAAAATGGCAAGATACAATTAATTTGTCTTCAATTATTAGTGCAATTTTAAAATGCATTAAAAAGCTGACATAGAAATTGAAAATTCATGTATTAGTACATGTATAAATATTAACATTGTATATAAGAATGTATTAAATTAATCTGCTCCTTGAAATAAAAGGTTAATTCTAAATATATAATAACTAAATAAAAATATCATTAATTTAATTTTATGGGACATTTGGGTGGCATAAATGTAAAAATTGAAGTCTTGGTATTAGATATATAAATGCATCGTAATTGGGTGGTATGTATGTAAAACTTCTGAATGTACATAAATAGTAATATTTTCTATTTGACTTCAAAATGGATACTTCAGGCTGCAAAGCCCATGAAAAAGCTGAGCCCAAACTATTAATATAATTTTCTTAATATTAAGCCATAGTTCCGCATGAAAGTGGAAACTCAAATGTAAGACTTGAATGGCATTTTGATAAATGCCACACAATTATTATTATTTTTTCATTTCTGGTACTTAAATTTTATATTTACATGCATATCACGCAAATTTTAAATATCACAAATATACCAGTTTTACTTTCTTTTTAAATGAAATAAATTTTTTTATTTTTTTTCATGTAAAAGTATATATATCCATCAAGCGGAAACTATGAAAGCTTTGGTCTTAAATATGTAAATACATAAAATTTATTAAAGGATTACATACACACCACTCAAGTCCAATGTATTAACGTGTGTGTGTATGTGCGCGCGCGCGCGCGTGTGTGTCGGGTACTTAGATCAGTTGGTCGGACATCTGCTTGTCAGTTGTAAGTCCCCTCTAGTCTGGGGTTCGATTCCCTGAGTATAGGGTGTGGTACTCGAATTTTAGGCACATGAGGGAAGGTCGGGGCTGTATCATGGTCTCTGGTCATTCTTTATTATTATTATTATTATATACATTTTCATATACATATTTTAATAAAAAAATGAAGAGCGTGATACAGCTCCCTACGCGCTAATCACCAAAAAGGTTACAAAATGAAAATCAGATAAGGAACCCCCTCTATGAAAACCAAAAGAAGAGTACAACTCACCCATTAAGAGGTTCTTCATCCGCAGGATAACTTGACCCAAGGAGAAAAACACACCAACACACAAAAAACAAAAGGGAACAATGCAAATATAAACATAATATATAAACCCAAGTGAGTATATCTGCATAAAATGACAGTCGAGATCCGCTAAACTTTCAAATCCGCTCTCCTCCAGACGGGTAAGCATGCCATCGAGGGTACAACCCAGAAATTCAAAGCGATGAGCACCAAACTGACTTGTGTATATCCTCCATAGTCACTGAACATCAAATCAATATAAGTTACCTGTAGACCAAAATATACCACAAAGTTAAAAGCAATATAAATATATATAATATGAAGTATAAAGCCAACACCCCTAGGAGTGATAAGCAGATTATGAAAAACGTCCAGCCTAGAACCAAAAGCCAAGCTACCTATAAATTTAAAAACATCAACCAGCCAAATACCACTAAGCCAATACCCAAAAATAAATATATAAGCTCCACCATAAAAAGGAGATATGCCTGAAACCGCAAGAAGCAAACCACATAGAGCAAACCAAGGAAAAGAAAAAAACATTAAGTCCTGATGAACGACAAGTCTAAAGAGTCGCCCCGTAAAAGTCTCTTAACATGGTAAGGGGTAAGGAGGTGAAACATCAACCTTAGTGTTACCTAAAAACTTACCACGTGTGGCCAACCAATCCGCTGGGAAGTTACCTTCCTAAAAATATGAGTCAAAATAACGGAAAGGTTATAATTATCAATAAAAAACCCGAATCTATTCCAAATTCCCAAGACATTCCACTTGGTATTGGTATATAAACCAAAATCCTTGTAAGTAGTTAGGGAATCCGTCTTGAGCACTAACTTGGAAAAGTTACAAGTAATGGCGACCTGAAGAGACAAAAGAAAACCCCAATACTCAGCTTCCAAAGGAGAGGAAGCCACAATCGGAGAGGAAAAGAAACAAAGGCACTTCCCAAGATGATTATAAAAAATCCTAGCCGCCCCAGCCGCCGAGGCAACCTAGCTACCATCAAAATTAACTTTAATCCATCCGAACGGAGGTGATTGCCACCTAACAAGAGTGGCCATCCTACTCTCCTTGGGATGGGGAAAAACATCTCTCAGGCCCATAATACGACAAGCTCGGGTGAAATAAGCAAGAATCAGAGAAGCCGAGGTAGAAGGAACAGGAGTCAAATTTTGATATTTAATATCATTCCTTGTCGTCCAGAGAAACCAAATGACCAACATAGAAAAAAAAGCCAATTTGGAGTCCAAAATATCAGCAGCTCTCCAAATATGGAGAAAATCAACAATATCAATGCAATCACGCCAGTTAACATGAAAGTTTTTTCCAAGAATAAACCACACCTCCTTAGCATAAGAACATTGAAAAAACAGATGCACAGCAGATTCCTCCTCCCTATTACATAGCTGACAACGGGAAGCCAATTTGAGCCCTTTAAGTTTCAAAATGTCGTCAAGGGGAAGCAAATTAAACAGATATCTCCATAGGAAGAAAGAGACGGAAGGAGTAAAGAAATTATTCCAAATAGGTTTCCCCCACCGCCATTTATCAAAGCTAAAGAGATTCGAGAGATGCGAGTAAAGCATTTTAGATGGAGAAATAGTAGAAGAGGTTTTCCAAAGCGGGGTGCCAATAGTAGTCTTCTTAATGGGGATCTTAGTAACATGTGCAGTTTTATCCCCAGCCAGAGAAAATAATTTAGAGATATCCCAATTTTCATCAATCCAAACATCCGAGATAAGTAATTTGTTATTTTCAGGTGTTTCAGCAAAAGTATTATGATCCCCCAAACCCCACTGATCATGCCAAAAAGAGATCTTTCCTTCTCCAATATCCCAAAAAATAAATCTACTAGCAATTGATTGAGCCTTCAGAATGGATTTCCAAATCTTAGAGTCCCCACTTTCCATTGAACAATAGATGGAATGGAAATATTGCAATATTTATCATGCATGAAACGTGCCCATAAAGAAGTATTAGCACAGAATTTAAACCACAATTTACATATACTAATATCAGAGATTTGATTCAAACTTTTAAATCCTAGACCACAAGCCGAGAGAGGTTTAGAAACTTTAGAGAAATTGGACCAATGTTTATTAGCGTGAGTGCCTGACCAAATAAAACGATTAAAAATTCTTTCAAGTAAAGTCTGAGTGCTTTTCTTGAGATTCATGATCTGAAGCGCATATAAAGGAATACTCAACAAAACACTTCTAAGGATGGTGATACGAATCCCCATTAGATAAAAAGTGTTCCTCCAATCATCAATTCTATGCTTAATCTTGTCGACAACATCGTCTAATTGAACTTGTTTGCGGCAACCCCTTAGCAGATTGACCCCCAAATATTTCAGGGGCAAGGATGTAGCATGAAAGCCAGTATGATCAGTACTCCAATTAATAATAGAGGTTTTAACAGACTTTCCAAAATAAATATTGCATTTATCTTCACTAAAAAAAAGATCCGAGGTATCCTGAAAGGTATCAAGTGTCTGCATGAGAGATTTAATAGCAGGCTTGCTGGCATTGTTGAAAAAAATGACATAATCAGCATAAGTCTAATGGCTAACCATAATGGATGATTTGTGAGAGAATTTAATGTGAGGCTTATCTTTCTGCAAACGATTAATTAAACGGGAGAAATAGTCAAAGGCTAAAATAAAAATAGTACTCCTGAGGTAATATTTTTTCTTTTTGAGGTTGTTTCTCTTTGGTTTCTTTGTGACCCACTGTTGGGGTTTTCTGTTTTGTCTTTCAAATTGTTTGGTGCATTTTTTGGGCCTATGGCCCCTTCCTTTGCTGAAGCCCTTGCGAGGGATTCATGTTCTAAGTTAGGCAATACTGGGCTTTTCCCCCACTCTTTTCATGCTGCTTTGCACTGCTGTAGTGATTATGTTTTCAATCAAAAAATTGGAGAAAAAGAGGGCAAATTTACAATGTTTGTTACTGATGACCAGTTTAATATCTTGGCTTCTTCGGCAAGGCATGTTCTTATAGGAAAATTTTCTTTTGGGCTACCCAAGCTTGATCTTATTAAACGGGATTTTGACTCTATGAAATTAACTGGGTTTTGGAAATTTGGTGTGTTGGACGGGAGGCATATCCTCATTTAACTATCCAATGATGAGGATTATACTAGAATGTTTTCACTTCGTTTTATCAAAATTGTTGGTAGCATAATGAAAATTTTAAAGTGGTCTATTGATTTTGATCCCAAATTGGAACCACCTATTATTCCGGTTTGGTTGCATTTTTCGGGACTTAAATTCCATTTGTTCAACCATGAAATACTTTTTTCTCTTGCTGCGGCTTACGACAAGCCTTTAAAATTGGACCGCCCCACATACTTATTGAGCAGACCTTCGGAGGCTAGGGCTCTGGTCGAGTGAGATGTTACGGTACCATTTTACGATGAGATATGGATAGGGTCCGAGCATAAAGGCTATTGGCAGAAAGTTTAACTGGAAAAACATTCACCGTATTGTAATCATTGTCATATGTTCGACCATATCCCTGCTCAATGTTTTTGTCTTCATCCTCATTTGAAACATGGGCCCCCACCTCCTGCCCCATCACACAAACCACTCCTTGGGATTTATGTTGAGAACACTAAAACCTTCTGTAAGGATAATCCCTTTGATAATCCTATGGTAGGTCTAGTTGAGGGTATTGAGATATCTGAAAATGCTAGTTTTAGCGAACCTATGGTTTTGTCTTCTCATGTTACTAACGCTAATAGAGCAAGATCTTTTACAAGATTCTACTCCTCATGTTTCTATTGTTGATTATCATGGGGAGGATTGTTTACAGGTTTCTTCCGCCCATGACATTATTTCAAAAAAAAGTATTGAGAAAGAGTCGAAACTTTTTTACAAAACTAAGGAAGATCTTGTTGAGGGAAATGTTATTTCTGAAAATAATATTATTTGTGAGCCAATCGTTATGTCAGAAAATGTTATTACTTGTGAGCCTATTGTTATGTCTCCTCATGCTATGAATGTTGTTTCGTATGAGCAAGATATAACACAATTTACTATTCCTCATGTTTCTAATGCGGATAAACTTGGGCAAGAGTTTTTACAGGTTTATCCTTCTGTTAATGATATTACGCTATCTATAAGTACTGAGAACGGGTTGGCTCATTTTCCTGATGAACAGATTCCTGATAATGTTATATCGGCCGCTACGAACGCCCTTGAGGAGGAATGGTTAGTGCAAAAATCAAGCAAAAAGAAAAATAAAAGAAAAAAATGAGCTTTTGCATCTCAATCGTGATAATATCATTATAAATGATAAATATCATTCAAGGAACAATTCACCACCCTTCCTAGATTTTCTAGAAGGGGTGGGTTGAGATTTAATGATTAATATCATGATCTGGAATATTAGGGGAGTGGCGGACCCTGCCTCCCTTAATAGACTAAAACATTTATTAATAATCTTTCTATCTTTGCCCTTTTGGAACCTATGGTTTCTACTAACAAAGAGAACATTCTCAGGAAGTTTAAAAATTACAATCACTTTTGTAATACGAATAATAAAATTTGGATTTTCTGGAAGCATACTATTGATCTCAATATCGTGGAAAATGATAATCAATTTGTTTTGGTTTACTTTAAAATGGACACTTTCTTCTCCTGGGCCACTTTTGTTTATTCTAGCTCCTTAATGCATGAAAAATTCCAGCTTTGGGATAAATTATTGCTTATGGGGAATCATATTAAAGAAAACTGGTTTGTTGGGGGAGACTTCAACATTGTTATGACCCCCACTGAAAGGAAGGGTGGTCGTAGTACGAATCCCAAACTCATTAGTAAGTTTTGTGACAAAATTGTCGAGGCAGGCCTCTTTGATTTAGGCTTCTCGTGCACTCCTCTTACTTGTTGGAGAGGTTCTCTGTTTCAACGCCTGGATCGTTTCTTGGGTAATAAACATTTTCTTAATTATTTTCACATCACTAAAGTTCATCATTTAAGTCATGTCGGTTCTGATCATAATCCCATTTTATTCTCTCTTGCCTTTACTACTAAATTTGCTTCGTATCACTTTAAATTTCTTAATGTCTGGACATCATATGACACCTTTTTAAGTACTGTTAAGAAGGCTTGGAGCATTAACAGAATTGGTGATCCCTGGTATGTGTTTTGACAACTTCATAAATAGGTTGCTGCTAAGCTGAGGGGGTGGAATTTCGATACTTTTGGAAATGTGCATAATAAGTTCAAAGAAGCTCAATTGGCTGTTGACACTCTTGACGAGGAAACCTCTCCTTCTCCAACTATTGTTGCTGAGTTAGCTCAAGCTCATGCTACTCTTCTGGGGGCTATCTCTTTGGAGGAAAATATTTTACAACAGAAAGCTAATGATATCTATTTTAAGTGCAGAGATAGGAACACTAATTACTTCCATGCCTCTATTAAATGTAAAAGAAATTTGAATATCATCTTAAATATCAAGACGACGAATGAGAGAACTCTGACGGACAAGGATGAAATTTGTAACAATGTTGTTGATTATTTCTCTAATTTGTTCCATTTAAATACATAGGTGCTCAATATTGACCATGATATCTTCGCTAAAGATCGTCAGTACATTCGCTAAAGATCGCGTCAGTACACCTCTAACATTTCTCTCAATGATATCCCGACTGAGTAGGAGATTTTTTCAATGTTCAAAGATATTAAGTCTAATAAGGCGTCGGGTCCTGATGGTTTCACTTCTCATTTTTATGTTTCCTATTGGGAGATTATTAAAGGGGATGTTATTAATGTCATTCAAAGTTTTTTTCAGGGGTTTGATCCTGGGAAATACTTTACTTCCTCTCTCATTGTGCTCATCCCGAGGGGGGCTGACAAAAATAGTTGGGATAAATTTCGCCCTATATCCCTCACCTCTGTTATATCTAAAGTCACAAGCAAGCTCATTGTTTCCAGATTGCAGCCTCATCTCAATAATATTATTTCTCTACAGCAATATGCCTTTATTAAATGGAGAGAGATCACTGATAATATTCTTTTTGCTCAAGAACTTCTCCAGGATATGGACAAAAATTGTAGAGGAGGCAACATGGTGATCAAACTTGATATTAAAAAGACTTTTGATACTTTAAGCTGGAATTTTATTATTAATATTCTTTAAGCTCGTGGTTTTTATGATAACTTCTGCTCTCTCATCAGAAGATGGCTGATAAATAATCATTATTCAATTCTTGTTAATGGCACTTCTTATGGTTTCTTTTCCGCTCAGAGAGGCATCAAACAAGGAGACCCCACTATTTTCATTATTGTTTTCGACTATCTCTCACGCTTGCTTAAAAATCTGCAGTTGAGCAAACCTTATTCCCAATTCTCTCATAAATCTTCCATTTTGGTTAGCCACTTGGCCTATGCGGATGATGCTATTATTTTTGCTAATGCTACTAAAACTTCCATGAAGGTCCTTATGCTGGTTTTGGAGAAGTTTCAAGATATTTCTGGTTTACTTTTCAATAAAGAAAAATGTCATTTATACTTTGGGAAGCACGTTAAAAGAACTATTGTTACTTGGGCTACCTCTTTTACTGGTTATCAAGTTGCCTCCCTTCCTCTCAAATATTTGGGTGTGAATTTGCTTTAGAGTCGTCGGAAGCAAACTCATTTAGCTGATGTGGTTGATAAAATCAACCATAGGATTAATGACTGGAGGAACTCGTTTCTTTCTAATGGTGGGAGGATTACTTTGCTTAGAAGTATCTTGATGAGTATTCCACTTTATGCTTTACAAGTTTTGAACATTAAGAAAAGTACCCAAAACACTTTAGAGAAGTTATTTAACCGCTTTATTTGGTCAGGCACCAATATCAGAAAACATTGGGCTACCTTTGATAAAATTTCTAAACCTTCTACTGCTGGGGGTCTGGGTATTAAGAA